CAGCCCCCACATAGAGGGGCATTGCCTCCCCTACTGGCTGGTGCAGCAGTGCAGGGAGGACTTGGGAAAATAACACGCAAGACGGGACCGAGAGAATAGGAACCGGCTTGCCCCATTGTCCCCCTGCAAGGCTTCAGGCCTCCAAGCTGGGACTGGGTGTGTCTCTATACAAGGGGGCAAAACTCAGGAATAACTAAATAGGAGACTGAAATCAACCCTTCTTCCCCTTGCAAAGAGGCGTCCACCTGGCTGTGTGAGCCCAGGAGCCCTTTTGGTTCTCTCAGCAGGGCCTGAATGACCAAATAGACCTCCCGCCCTAGGAAAGAGGCCCTTCCCTTAAGGCCAGGGTGCTCTGATCCCGTGCGGGGAGCAAAGAACTCAAGGAATGTGGGTGCCAAGTCCCACGTCTCATCCCAGGAGGCCATGGTGTCTTCAGACCCAGCCTACATGGTTTCCTCCTCTGTGGGCTGCTATAGCTGAGATTTATGGTGGGATTATACCTGCACGGTATTCCTGACAGGTAGCATTTGGCCACTCCGTGGCCCTCCAGAAGAAGCAATTACAACATGGCTGGTGTGCGGCATGACTTCCGAGGAGAGGTGAGGGAACTGGCCTTAGCCTGGAGAAGAGAAATCCTGAGAGGGGATTTAATAGCAGCCTTCAACTCCCTGCAGGGCGGCTGCAAAGAGGATGGAGCTGGGCTGTTCTCAGTGGGGGCAGACGACAGAACAAGGAGCGATGGGCTCAAGCTGCAGCAAGGGAAGTTGAGGTTGGATATCAGGAAAAACTCTCACTAGGAGGGTAGGAAAGCACTGGAATAGGTTACCCAGAGAGGTTGTGGACTCTTCATCCTTGGAGGTTTTTAAGACCTGGCTAGACAAAGCCGTGGCTGGGATGATGTAGTTGGGGCTGGTCCTGCTCGGAGCAGGGGCTGGGACTAGATGTGACCTCCTGAGGTCCCTTCCCACCCTCATTTTCTATGATGCTATAAGCGGAGAGGGAAATCCGGAGGCTGGGAGGGTAAAAAGGAGCCTAGTCAGGGATTTAGCTCTTACAGAGAGAGGAGGAGGAGGGTATCTATATTGTTTTCACAGCAATCCCAAGAATCAAACCCTGCCTGCTGGTGGCTGTCCTGTACACCCCACGTGCCAAAAAATGTCATGTGGTTGCCGGTTGGCTCTCAGGAGCTCAGTCTCAGGTGTGCTCCCAAGGCTGGCACTGGGCAAGCCACCCTAATGACTGCACGGTGCATGTTGTAATGAGCACATAATGCATTTTTAGCAACTGGTATAGACAGAGCAGCTGAGGTTTTGCTTCCCAGTCACTGGGAAGACAGGACATCCACAGGCAGGGACAAAACCCCCAGTGAGCCCAACCTGGAGCACAGGCAGCTGTGGAAATGTTTGCCTGAGCTGGGAAGGGCGCTAGGATCTGTCCCATTATACACACATTTCCTCCCTCCATCACAGGCCGTGTCCTGTTATATCGAATATGGGTGGCTCCTTCTGGTGTGACCCCTGCTCTGCCCAACACGCAGACCCAAGTGCCCCTGGATTGCACCTGTGTCTGCAACAGGCAGAGTGCCTTAAGGGCCACCCCCAGAGAAAATCACAGCGTGAGCTCAATCACGTTACTACAGATGTGGACAGCGCTGGAGGGGATGTTACACCTCAGGAGTCAGCCGAGTCCCATAATGCAAAGGAGACCTCTATGGCCACCTGCCTAATTCCTACTGCTGCATACGGCTCAGGGAACACCCTCTTCTCCCTCCCCATCTCTTCCACACTCCCTCACGAAAAATCACCAACAGCTTCCATTTCAGGCCTAGGCAGAATGGGAAAACCAAAATCACAAGTCTTTTTTGAGGAAGGGGAAAAGTGTTCCCTGCCCCACTTTCATCAGGGAGATCAAAGTCCATCCTAAACACCAGCCTGCTCCTTCCCTAGGTCATCATTTCCTATCCAAATCAGCCAAGGAGACTCCAGCCCTCATTTATGTGACATTTCAAGAAGGATGGATTCCTCTGAAATGAAGAGAGATGGCGGGTGAGTCCCTTCCAGACAGAAGGTCCTGCCATCTGAGCTACAGGACTAAAGCCATCTACCCACACAGAGATCCAGCTGTGTTGTACCCCTAATTCCCATCAGTCCCACCCATGATGGCCCAAATTTAAACTAATGCCAAGAGAGATGCAAGAACTTAACCCTGCTCCCCAGCAACCCTGCCCCCAAAACTGTGAGCTCCATTCTTCTTGAGCAATCAAGCTGCATTTTGCCCTGGTCCTTTGCCGTCTCGCACATCATTCCTACCCCATGGGCCGTATCTCAGCAGAGCACTTACTCACCATCCTCTCTGCACTTCTGGATGAAGGCCTCCACCCCGCTCTCACCATAGCTTCCCTCAGAGGCTAAGGTGGAGACGTAATTCCACTTGAGCGCCTTGACAATGTCCACCATGGCCTGGGCTTGGTAGGTGTCGGAGGGGACAACACGGGAGAAGAAGTCGTACCGACTGTTGTCGCTCAGGTCGGGGGCGGTGGAGGCATAGCTTATTTGGGGGATCTGCAGGAACAAGGAAAGAAAGGGCACCAGATTAGCAAGGAGCAGCAAGCCAGAGGACCGTACTGTCGCATCCCCCCAGCTGCTTATCTGACGCAAGTGAGGAACATCCCAAACCAGCCAGCAACATCTGGAGCAGGCAAGCGTGCCAGATTAGACAGAGTGGGTGTGAAGACAGGAGCTACCAAGAGGCAAACATGGCACATGCTGAGGTCTCCCAGCCTCTCTGCAGTTCACAGCCATTGCTTTCCCTCAATTTTTAAAACACACATTCCCCACCCCTCAAGGGAAATTGCAATGCATTTTTAAATACATTTTTTCCAGCTAAAGGAACAGGCTGGAGCTAACAGAACGACAGCACTGCAGGTATCCAACGGAGATAAAAGGCAGCGCTCAGATTTGCAATGCTAGCACACCTTCAAACGCACGGCCATACATCTGCCAAGCCCTGGACACAGCCAGACACACCGATGTCTAATAAGGGGACGGGGAAGGGAGAAAGCAATGGCTTTTGCAAGCTTGCAGCTGGCCAGCGTTCCCAGACTCCTCGAAGCAGCAGTTCTGCAGTAGGCAGATCTGTGCTGCTTCGTGGTGCAGGACCACGGGGACACTTGGGTGCATTCATCTGAACATTGAGAGCTTTTTCCAGCCCCCCTACCAGAGCCCGAGCTCCACAAAGCAGGCTGGGGATCGGCCAAGGTCGCTTTGTTTCTGCAGCTGGTTGCTGTAAGAACCTAACCATGTTGTCCTGTTGAAAATTTCCATCCCTATCTCAGAACACTTTAAAGAGGCAGGTCAGTGCTGGAAGCGGAGGGAGAGAAAGGAGAAGCGGCTTGCCCGAAATCCAGCAGCAGATCAGGGACAGAAACTCTCTGCTCTGTTCTCTCTCCACTGGACCGCACGGTCTCCGTGAGTGCTTCTCCAGCATGATTTGCAAACAGCACCGCCAGAGGCCAACAGTACAAGCAGAAAACAGAGCGAGGAAAGATGAAAAGATGGCAGGATACTGGCTCCAAGTGCCAGGTCTTTTAGACAATCCAAAGTCTTTGATCCTTGCCAATGCCCCAAGATCTAACAAACTCCATCCATAGAGGAGCACGGGAAAGGAAAGGATGTTTTTCTTGTCCTCGCTCCCCAAATAACAGATTCAGTCCGATCGCATACACAAAGAGCAGAGAGCACGTCACGGGATTAACACCCGCAGCCGGTGTCCTCTCTTTTCTCCCACAAAAGTTGTTGGCTGGGCAACAGAGCCCAGTGGATAAAGACAGGCACTGGAGTGTCCCCGGGAAGAAAAGAAGCCAGGCCTGTTCTGCAGAAGCAGACAAGGAAGGAAGAGATTCCCATTGAATTTTCAGCCCTTTTCCCAGGCAGAGCCACAAGAGAGGATGCCGAGGGGCTTGTGATGCTGCCTAACCAGCCAGCAAAACGGTTCTGTGATACTTTAATTTCTTCCCCTATTTTCCCCTCCTCGCATTTGCTCCTTAGCTGCGTTTCCCCACCGCCTGCCCTGCCTGAGACATGTCCCCCTGTTTCCAGGGTACTTTCATGGTTCAGGGGTACCCAGGGGACTGAA